TTGGACATTTAACTGACTGAACCACCCAGGCACCCCTCCCCCAATCTCTTTTGGAGTGAGAGGAAATAAACACATAAACTCCCCCATTTATGGTGTCCCTACAGACAGTCCTTTACTTACCATGGTTTGACCTGAACAATTTTCAACTTTATGAGGGTGTGAAAGCAATACACATTCAGCAGAACCCTTACTCTGACTTTTGAATTTGGATCTTTTCCTGGGCTAACGCCATGCAAAGGATTCTCTCTTTCTCTCTCTCTGTCCGTCTCTCTCTCTCTCTCTCTCTCTCTCTCTCTCTCGCTCTCTCGATACTGGGCAGTTGAGCTGCAGTTCCCAGTCAGCCAAGTGATCACAAGGTTGAACAACTGAAACACTTATAACCATTCTGTACCCACACCCATTCTGGTTTTCACTCTTAGTACAGGGTCAGTAAATTACATAAGATGCTCAGTGCACCATTCATTACCAAGTAGGCTTTGTGGTCTGTGATCCTGCCCAACAGTAGGCTAATGTAAGTGTTCTGAGTACATTTGGGGTAGGCTAGGCTAAGCTATGATGTTCAGTAGGTTAGGTGGATTTGATGATATTTTCAACTTAAGTGGGTTTATCAGGGTGTAAGTCGAGGAAGATCTGTATTTATATTTCTCCAAAGAATAGATGCACATTTCTGCACTCCTCACTCCCCAATTTCTCTGCATATAGTTTCTTGGGCTGTATAAGGAAATAGGTCTGTGTTGTAACTAATTTATGTAAGGAATACTCATATATACTTTGGTAACTATTCTATCATATGACTTATCAATCAATAACTATTACTGCCCAGCAAGCAATGCTAGTTTTGTCATGTGGATATATGGCAAGATCAGAAGTATACTCCAGTGTCGTTGAGCCTCTAATGTGCTACTGGCTGAGATATGTCTCTTTTAAGAGACTCAGAATCTATCTGAGAAGACTCCATTGCAAAGTTTAGGGCATGAGAATATTACCACAGGGGTGATATTGCCCACAAGAGAACTAAATTGGTTCTTGGAGTGTAAAAAAGAATTTTCTGTATACAGTGGCCTGTGGGCTTCCAAAGGGCCACACTATATAAATAGATTTATAGTATATCCAGTACTCATATTTCATTGAGAAGGCAATTAGGAAAAAATGTCTAAAAAGTCTTCCTAGATCGGTGATCATGAAAAAAATGATAAAGAACAAATACTGGTTTACATAGATTTGCAGCCGGAACCAATGGCTCTCTTTTAGTAATTTACATAGTATTCTTAACCACCTTTGAAATTTGGTGTTAGGAAAGAAAAGCCTGAACTACCAAAACTCCCAACTTTTATTATTTTTGTATGATAATATTGGTATGAAAGTTATGAATTTGTTTTAGATATTTGTCATTGTTCAGTTTGTCAGAGTTCTAAGGTGGATATTCTTGGTCTAAAAGCATTACAATTTTAAAACCTGTATATAAAATTGTGGAATAAGGGGCACAGTGGCTGTGGCTCAGTCGGTTGAGCGTCTGACTTTGGCTTAGGTCATGATCTTTTGATTCTTGGGTGTGAGCCCTGCATTCGGCTCTGTGCTGACAGCTCGGAACCTGGAGCCTGTTTCAGATTCTGTGTCTCCCTCTCTCTCTCTCTGCCCATCTCAAAAATAAATAAACATTAAAATTTTTTTAATAAATAGGTAAAATTGTGGAATGATTTTGGGCTGTTTCATTGCAACCGTACAACTTCTGGGTAAAGTATATAAAAATTAGCTTATAGATAAAAGGTCATTATTTTGGAAACTACATTATTAATATAGAGTTCAAGTCTAAGTAAAACATCATTGTTTCCAAAAGCTAAATACGAGACATTTTTGGTGGCCAGTTATGTTGACATCAACAATTTCTGTCTGTCTACTAAGGTATGTACTTAGTCTCCAAGTATATTCGGAAGAACACAGATAGTGTGGTGATCTTCTCTGGAGAAGGTTCAGATGAGCTTACGCAAGGTTACATATATTTTCACAAGGTAAGTTTTCTGACATGGAGGGATATTGGTGCTGGGTGAAGAAAAGTGGTTTGCTCTCATCTGTCTTAACGCTTGAGTATCTTGTGACGTATGTGAGGAAAACTGATAGTGTCTGCTTTGTATTTCTTTGGAGGGGGGGGAAGAAGTCTTAATGTGAGATAATCTCCATTTTTCAGAACTGGTGAAGCAGGAGAATCGGGAGTCTGACTTTTCTGAATCCCCTGTGGCAGCCTGGTTACTGCCCTGGGCGTCCATTTTATCGCCTGACAGCTACCTGTTTGGTGTGCAGGAAGGCCTATTTTAGCAAGTAGGGACCCCCCTTCCCCAAACTTTGTTTAGCTTTCTGTCTTACTCCCACTAGAGCTGGAATATGGGAAAGAGAAATGAACACTGTTCTGTGTGCACAAGCAAAGCTGTTGGTGTATTTGTAACTCCACCTGTTTATAAAACAGGCTCCTTCTCCTGAAAAAGCCGAGGAGGAGAGCGAGAGGCTTCTGAAGGAACTCTACTTGTTCGACGTTCTCCGGGCAGATCGCACTACTGCTGCCCACGGGTAACTCGGTAGTTTGAGAAGCAATCGTTAAGACAGCCTCAAAAATCAAAAAGCCCAATGGCCAATTACTTTTTTCAGTTGATTATACGTTTGTGCAAAGTATGACTTTTTGTTTTTTGAAAGAGAGCATGAGTTTACATGCACACGTGAGCAGGGGAGGGGGAGAAAGAGAATCTTAAGCAGGCTCCACGGCCAGCATGGAGCCCAACTTGGGGCTCGATCTCACAGCCGTGAGATCATGACCTGAGCCGAAATCAAGAGTCAGACACTTAACCCCCTGGGTCACCCAGGTGCCCCACAAAGTACAACTTCGATAGAGAAAACGAAGCTTGTCTCAAAGCACTGTTTTGGCATTGGTGAGGAGACTGTAGGTTGTTTTAGATGGACTTCGTCTTTAAAGCACAGCCGCACTCTGCTACCATCAGAACCGAAAGGGAAGGCAGGTGCTTCTCTTTTTAAGACTTTTTAAGAGAAGTTAAAGTTGACACAGCCCCTGTAACAAGTGTTGAGTGCCTACCACACCTGTTTGATACTGTGGTGACCCTGCTTGGGCACAGGGCAATGAAGAGCCGGGAGGGTTGATTAGATTATAAACAGGTTTCTCTCTGCCCGAAGTTTTCACTTTTTAGCTAGTCATGTTGGAGAATTCAGATCTCTTACTGTAGGTGATAAACTACGTTAAATATTTTAGTTGCTTCTACGAAATCACACTTAGATTAGAAAATAGTCAGATACGGTGTGGGGAAGGAACTGAATCCATCGTTATTATCCATTTGCCTTAACCAGAGTCACCAGGATTCAGGAAACACGACGTGGCCTTTGATGAAACACTGTGGAACAGGGGTATATACTGCATGTTGTATGTAAATCATTTAGTAGTAAACAATTCTGAATTCTTTAGTTTTCCATAGGACAAGAGATGGCCTCACCAAGAAAAAACTGAGTCAGAAAGGTATAGGAAAAGTACATTCTTAATGATCAGATCACTCATGTTTCTTACCATTTTCTGCTCTTTGAGATGTGCATTTAATTGTTTACAGAAGGGAAAGTAAAATTATTGTCCGTTTGTTTCACTCTCTAGATGAGGTAATACATCTTGTTGGGAATGAAGATTTTTGCTACTCATGCAGTAGTAAAGGACAGTCAGGAGGACCCTAAAAATGACTTTTAGTCTTAACATTACATAGAGGCTAGTTGAATTGCTAAGAAACTCTCAAGGAGAATCTAAAAGGACAGGCACTAAATATCCATTTTGATTTAGATTTTTCTTTTCCCCTTTAAGCCTTGAATTGCGCGTCCCTTTCCTGGATCATCGATTTTCTTCCTATTACTTGTCTCTGCCCCCAGATATGAGAACTCCCAAGGTAGGTGAATCGATGCACGATGGAAACTGTCTATTGCTATTAAATGTATTTGGAATTTTTACTGCCATTCCTTTGTTTTCATGTCAGAATGGGATAGAAAAACATCTCCTGAGAGAGACATTTGAGGACTCCAATCTAATACCTAAAGACATTCTCTGGCGGCCAAAAGAAGCATTCAGTGATGGAATAACTTCGGTTAAGAATTCCTGGTTTAGGATTTTACAGGAATATGTTGAACATCAGGTATAAGGTCTTTAAAAATATTTTCTGGCATAGGACAATATGGATGTAGAATGGCAATCAATGTTCATTTTGTATTTCATTTAAATGTTTTGTGGCTGTAGGAGAAATTCCCTGTAAACAAGAGTTTTATAAGAATTTCATAAGATATGGGGCACCTGGGTGGCTCAGTCAGTTAAGGATCTGACTCTTGGTTTCAGTGCAGGTCATGATTGCATGGTTTGTGAGTTCAAGCCCCGAGTCAGGCTTTGTCCCGACAGTGCAGAACCTGCTTGGGATTCTGTCTTCTCTCTCTCTGCCTCTCCCCTGCTCATGTGCTCTGTCTCTCAAAATAAGCAAACAAACAAAAAAAGAATTTCATAAGATTTAAGTAGCATGAAGGATTATATAGTAGCATCTAAAATTCAAAGAGCAAGAGAAGAGACTTACCAATCATCACTGACCTTCATTTAACATTTAACACCTGCCAGGTGCCAGAAATTATTAGTCATAAAACACTCAGAGCTACCGTGTATTAAAATTATTCGTAGTGGGGCGCCTGGGTGGCGTAGTCGGTTAAGCGTCCGACTTCAGCCAGGTCACGATCTCGCAGTCCACGAGTTCAAGCCCCGCGTCGGGCTCTGGGCTGATGGCTCGGAGCCTGGAGCCTGTTTCCGATTCTGTGTCTCCCTCTCTCTCTGCCCCTCCCCCGTTCATGCTCTGTCTCTCTCTGTCCCAAAAATAAATAAACGTTGAAAAAAAAATTTAAAAAAAAAATTATTCGTAGAAATGTTCCTTGAAAGTTGCTGCAGCTGTGTCTATTATTGTATTTTAGCATTTTCTAAGTGATGGGTGATTCAAAGGGTCTCTTGCACAATTTACAGTCATTTTGTTGTTGGGAAGCCACATTAAATACAAGTGTTTCTATGCCATTTAACAAAGCCATTTTGAATTTATATTCTTACAGGTTGATGATACAATGATGGCGACTGCAGCCCAAAAATTTCCCTTCAATACTCCTAAAACTAAGGAAGGCTATTACTACCGTCAAATCTTTGAACGCCACTACCCAGGCCGGGCAGACTGGCTGACCCATTACTGGATGCCCAAGTGGATCAATGCCACGGACCCTTCTGCCCGCACTCTGGCCCATTACAAGTCAGCCGCCAAAGCCTAGGCACCATCTGAGCTATCCAGTGAAAGGAAACATTCCTCCTGTGATGAGTAAGGGGCTTGGGGGCAGGAGGGGGAGCAGTGAGCATCAACCATTCTGGCTTGTTGGGCATGGAAAAAAATAAAAGTCTTGAATCTGACACAGTGCTATAGTCATTTATATTCATACAGCCCCTTCCTTAGAGGGAGCTAGAAACTGAGCAGCTTTTACTGTATCCCAGGAAGGTAGAGAGTGAGCTTAGGAAAGGAGGAAGCAGCCTGTCATTTGCAGGAGTCCTTGCCTCCTCTTAGCGTGGCCTTTTCACAGCTTCCCTCTCTGTTCTTTCTGTATTCACAGCAGCTGGTGAGGCAGGCTCTGTGGTGCTGAGTCCGTCGTGGACGTCCCTGACAGCTCTCTCTTGTAAGACAGTAATTCATATTTTCATTTTTCTGGTGAGCCAACACCTCTTCTGGAACTACTGTTCTAGATCCGAGATCAGCAGATTGTTAGGGACAGTCAGTAAGTATCATAGGCCTTGCAGACCTCTGTTGGAACTGTGTAAAAGCAGCCGTAGCCAGTATGCGATCAAGTGGCCAGGGCTGTGCTCTACTCAGAGTTTATAGCAACGGGCTGGATTTGGCCAGTGGGCCGTAGTTTATAGAGCCCTGTTCTACAGAAACAACTCAAGCCAAACATTTCTGATAAAAGGAAAAAACATTCTGAACCCAAGAGGGAAAAGAGAAAGTAGAACAAGGAAGCAGTCAATGAACAAGTAAAAGATTCTTGTTTGAATGCATTGGTTGTGTAGGGACCACATTTTGAAATACCCTATAAAGATGAATGTAGTAGGAAGTTTTGAAGAGGAAACTGTTCCTGTGCAGGTCAACATATGAATGTTTGATGGGAAGAATGAGTGGGCTGGATTTCAGCTAGGAAGTTAGAAGATAGGGACTGTCTGAGGCTAGAGGCCCTCACTGAAAAATGTAAAATGTCTCTAGACAGCCGAGGAAATGCCGTGAGTTAATATTGGAAGATTCAATGATAATCCTGTATTTGTAGGTGCTTGAAGGGCCTCAACCTGGCATGGCTTGGTTCCAGGCAAACCTATTCATGGTATAGCCTCATCCAGCCACCCTAGGTGACACCGAGAAGGCACGAGAAACTAGGTGGTGGTGGTTGGGCAGCGTGCATGGCAGGATTATAAATCACAACTTAGTTTTTGAGGGTATGAGCTGTTTAACTTGAGTGACTATCAGAGCTGGCATACTCAGGTACCACTCAAGAGTTCAACAGTAGAGGTACACCGTTCAGCCAAGTTCATAGCAGTGAATTCAGTCCTGCAGGTCAACCCTAACTACAGCAACTTGGTAAATGGCAAGCAGCACATGAGATCTATCAGATGTTCTTGGCACATGGTATAAAATCACCTCTTCTTTTGCAACTGAAATTCTAGAAGTTTAAAGAAATGGTAGCCACTGAAGCATATACACACGTGACTCAACAGCTCCATACTGGCCAAGCCTGTTTTCCTGGCCTACTCTGATCTTGGTGACTCAGTGCTAAAGAGGCCTGTGGTTTCCAATCCACACAGCACTGCTAACAGATCATTCAGTCCCCCACCATAAACTAAAAGATTTTTAGCTGATGTTGTCCTGGCTTTTCATCCTCTTCCATGTACACCCTATGGGATGATACACCCCTTCAGAGGTTTATTTTACCTTGCCTTCAGACATAACTAAAAAAGGAACCTTATAGTTTGGGACAGGATATGTTCCACAGAAAAAGAAAAATTAACCACCTAAATACTACCACTGCTTCAAATAGTTTTAACATTTTCTTGCAAGTATCTTGCTTTAAAGGCACAATTACACATATGCAACTGTTGATCTTGGTTAAATAGGCTGCAAAGTTTCTGGAACCCTTTACAAGGAAACTGTCAGAGAACCGTGAGCCTTCTGATGTCAGACTGTTGTGTGAATATCTTGTTGAGTGAGGCCATGGGGTCAACACATGCCCCTCAATTCCTCCTGTCTTGGGGTTGCTGTAGTGTGGTCTGTAGTCTGAAATAACAGATCCTTGGGCTGGGTCCCCATGAGAGGGGAAAGCTGGCCACAGGAAGGCAGTTCCACATGGTTTTAAACCTGTACAGTGGATCAGACACTAACACCCAGCATTATGTACCGAATGTTCTAAGTACTTTGTTGCATTCACTCATTCAGTGGGTTTACCCTCACTCTGAGGAAGTATGGCAGATACTGTTTTCTAAAAATGGTCCCACGGACTCTTCCAGACCCTAGCTGCTACTCTGAAGAGGCAGTCTATTTCCCCTCTTCTTGTGTCTGGGCAGGATTTCAAGATTGCCTTGACAAGCTGAATCCAGTAGAAGTGACACTGTGACTTGCAGACGCTAGGTTGCAAAAGGTGATTCAGCTTGCGCTTCCTTTTCTCTCGATGCATGTGGTAAGGAAGCCCAGGTCACAAGGAGAGGCCACATGTAAGAATTAGGGCTGACTTCTCCAGCAAAGGTCTCAGTCAACAGCCAGCATCCATCAACGGATGTGTGAATAAACTTCCAGACAGTTCCAGTGCCTACTTGGAGTCTTCAGCTGGGGCCCCAGTCACAGCCAGCATAGATAAACTGTCCCTGCTGTGCTATGTCTAAACTCCTGATTCAAAATTCCTTGAGTATAGTAAATGGACACCATTACCTTTTACGTGGTTTCTTACACAGGTACAGTAACTGGAACAGCTAAGCCCTATGACCCCTATCTTATACAGGTTAAATCAGTTGTTCAAGGTCATTCAGCTGAATTACTAAGAAGTAGAATTCCAAGTGACCTGACAGATTGGCTCCAGAGCCTTTGTGTCGTTCTTTCCTGACTATCCCTTCCCCTGTCAGCATGAAACTACAGGCCTGGTCTCTGCTGTAACTTGGACTAAGAGAAGGACCCCATGTCACCTTGAGTTAAGTTAGCTCCCAGGAGATCATAGCGATCCTAAGCATTTTCTAGAATGGGATCGGTGAGACGACCAGGAGAAAATTCCAAATTTTTAGTGTATTACCACAACTGAAGCCATTTCTTGATCACACTGTATGTTCCTCTGGGTCTACAGAGCTCAGCTCATCATTGAAAAGGTTGTAATCACTCTGGGACCGAGGCTGATGAAAGCCTGATCCTGACACATGCTTCCATGACCAGCAAGGCAGGGGATGGAGAAAATGGTCAACCATGTGCCAAAACTTAGAGCTTCCACCCTGACGCAATGTATTACTTTTTCTTCTATTTTATGGGCCAAAGCAAGTCATGTGACCACTCTTAACATGAAAGCTGCATGTACCAGAAAGGAAGATGAAATATGTAGAGAACAGTACCAATGACCCCTCAAATCCACACTCCAGTCACCTGGAGTCCATTCACCTCTCTCCCCTACGTACAAAATATACTCCTCCCCTTTTCAAGAGTGACAACCCCCCAATTCCACTTTGCCATGGCCATAAGCCCAGAGTTGAAGATTTCTGGGTGATGTACTGATACGGGAGTCTGTTTCAGGTGACACCTTTTGTGAACTGACAAGAAAAGTTATCTCCTCCCCACCTGTGCAATATATAATAGGGCAGGAGCAGAATGACAACAAAACACGTACTGCTTTTCGAAAAGGATAGAATGAGAGGCATACAGCAAACTTTAATCGGTAGCAATTCTGACACCCTGCTCACCGGTTATTTTGAGGACCCTCACCTTGGGTGTGCAGCAGAAAATTGCCCCTCAGCAATCAGGCAAGAGTGAAAGAGCTGAGGAAATCAGTGCCTGAGCATGAAGTGAGACATGGGGAATACTTTGAAGGGGGAAGGCTGATGTCGAGCAATAAAACTAATTTGACTCATGCCATCGTAATCATGGTCACCCAGAATATTGATCCCTCTTCCTGAGTCTGACCAATACTGCTCTAAAAGCTACAATCAATCTTGACAACATTCCTGTGAGGGCTGCACTATCGAGCTCATCCACATTTTATGGATGAGTAAAGTGATACACAGGTATTCTGTCATATACCCAAGTTCATATAACTAACAAGTAATCAAAGTGGGATACTAGATCCCAGGTTCCAGGGTTGTACTTAATCCCTACTCTGTATTACCTTTCACAAGATTATAGAATTATTTGAATGGAAAAAATAATTCCAATGTTTTTCCGGTAATTCTGTATTTTTAGTGAGATTATATATTCATTTTGTAGCTAGTTCTTACATTATTTAGCACATCTAATTTAAGCATGAGACAATTTTGTTAATTTTAAAAATGTTTAGGGGTGCCTCCGTGGGTCAGTGGGTTAAGCGTCTGACTCTTGATTTTGGCTCAGGTCATGATCTCATGCTCAACATGGAGCCTGCTTGGGATTCTCTCTCCTCTCTCTCTCTCTCTGCCTCTTGTGTGTTCGTTCTCTCTCTCTCTCTCTCTCTCTCTCTCCAAATATTTAAAAATTTTTAAGTGTTTAATGAACACATATAAGCACATATCATTTACATAATTTAGATTTTATGTGATTGAGAGCCTATAGGACTTAGATCTCATGTGAATTCTTACCTGATTTCAACCCTAGCTAGCCAGTACAAGGAGGCCCAGAAATTAGTTCATAGTCCCTTCTGCAACTTGGAGAATTTTTAATCTAGAAGAAAACTATACTTACACTGTTGGTATACTTTAGAAATTGGTTGTTGCAGTGTAAAATGTTTGTTTGATTTCTGAGGATGAATATAATCCATAAAACCACAAGGTGGCAGCCACAAGACACTAATTTTTCTCTCCAGGCAATTTGAACACATTTCTCCAGCTTAGTGGTGGGAACAGATTATTTTATGCCAAATTAGATAATATGTTGCTTTCATAGAATAAATCCTAGCAGGGAAGCGCCACAGTTCTAATTAGTGAGCAGTTTTAATTGGCTAATAGCATATGACTGTTGTACAGGCCAGTATGAGTACCTGTATTTTCTTCTGAATCTTTCATATCCCTCCTTTGATCGATCATCC